CTCGAAACCCAGAATCAATAAGGGAAAAGATTGATAAATTTGACACTTTTTTTAAAAAAATTATTTATTTATTTTTGCCTGTGTTGGGTCTTCATTGCTACGTGCGGGCTTTCTCTAGTCTTGGCGAGCGCAGGCTACTCTTCATTGTGGTACGCAGGCTTCTTATTGCAGTGGCTTCTCTTGTTGCAGAGCAGGGCTCTAGGTGCGTGGGCTTCAGTAATTGTGGCTCGCGGGCTTAGTTGCTCCGAGGCATGTGGGATCTTCCTGGACCAGGGCGCGAAGCTGTGTCCCTTGAATTGGCAGGCAGATCCTTAACCACTGCGCTACCAGGGAAATCCCAACTTTTTTTTTTTTTTTTTTTTTTTTTTGCCACGCTGCACGTCTTGCTGGATCTTAGTTCCCCAACCAGAGATCAAACCTGGACCCTTGGCAGTGAAAGCGTCAAGTCCTAACCAGTGGACTGCCAGAGAATTCCCTTTGACTACACTTTTTAAAAAAATCTGTTGTAAAAAAGGGGGAGAAAGAAAGCAAGAAAGGAAAACACCACAAGCCAAGTGAATAAATAAACTCAATTTATATCTCAATAAAGATATATTTGTAACCATATCTCAGAGGGTTTATATATTTAATGTATAAAGAGCTTAAAAAAAAAAGAGAAGATTGTTAGCTAGTGCTGTAGTAGTAATCATATTGTCACATATGTGTATGAAAACATGTTGTACACCTTAAACTTATACAGTGTTATATATCAATTGTAGTCAATTATATCATAATAAAGCTAGGGGGAAAAAGAAGAAAAAACCCATAACCTTTTGGAAAAATGGGCAAGAGATATGAACATTCATAGAAAAATTCACAAATGGCCCTTCCATATATAAGACAGTGTTCAATTCCACACACAGTAAAAGAAATGCAAATTAAAACCACACTGAGATACTGTTCCTCTCCTGTCAGACTGGCAAAATTGAAATGTTTGACAGTATACTCTGTTGGTGAGGCTGTGGCGAAAACGACACTGTCATTTGTTGCTGGTGGGTAATGTGAAATGGTGTGATCCTGGTGGAGGGGAGTTTGGCAATATGGACCAAAATTATATATATACATTTTCCCTTTGATCCAGCAAACCCACTTCTAGTAATCTATTCCAAAGATACACTGGCAAATAGAAAAGATATATGCATGAAGTTATTCACTGTAACCACTATTAGTGGTACCTACTCTACAACAGACTGGAAACCACCCAGGGGACTGACTGAATGATATATGTACATAACCATAATGGAGTATAATCAAGTATATACCTCTACTGCTATGCAATAATTACCACGATATATTGTATAGTGAAAAAAATCAAAAGGTAAAACTGTATATGTTACCTTTTTATTGAATATAGATGTATGGATAAAGAAGATGTGGTACATATATACGATGGAATATTACTCAGCCATAAAAAAGGAACAACATTGGGTCATTTGTAGAGATGTGGATGGACCTAGAGTCTGTCATACAGAGTAAAGTAAGTCAGAAAAAGAAAAACAAATACTGTATATTGACGCATATTTGTGGAATCTAGAAAAATGATACAGATGAACCTATTTACAGGGCAGGAATAGAGACACAGACATACAGAGCAGACATGTGGACATGGGCTGTGGGGTGTGGGATAAATTGGGAGATTGGGATTGACATATGTGCACTGCCATGTGTAAAACAGATAGCTAGTGGGAACCTGCTATATAGTGCAGGGAGCTCAGCTCAGTGCTCTGTGGTGACCTAGATAGGTGGGATTGGGGGTGGAGGGTGAGAGGGAGGTCCAAGAGGGAGGGGATATATGTATACATATAGATGATTCACTTCGTTATACAGCAAAAAGTAACACGACATTGTAAAGCAACTAAACCCAAAAAAAAAAAAAAAAAAAAAAAAGAAGAAGAAGGGAATAGGAATTCACATACATATATTATGTATTTGCTTATACCAAAAAAAAAATGAGGAAAAAATAAAAACTAATAAAAATGAATACTATACAGGAATAAAAGTAACGGGAGTTGGACACAGAAATGAAAGTTTGACTTCTCTGAATATATCTTGCCTTGTGAATTTAATTTTGGAATTCTATAGTTTTATATCATCATAAAACAAAGTTAAATTAATATGAGGGGTAAGCAAACTCTAGAAGCAAAAGCAGAATGAAACAAATGAACCTAACTATATATTGCTGATGAAGTAAACTCAGCAGGATTATTCCAAAATAATTCTGCAAAAGCAAAGTAATTTATCTGTATTTCTCTAGTGGGGTATTCCCTAAATCAGTTTTAGTAATGGTAGTATTAGTAATAATACTGGTGTTTTTATTCTGAAACTATTCTACATATTTTATATATGTATCTATATGTGTGGATATATTAGGATAAAGCAAATAATTATGTTACTATCACTATAAACAAGGATATCAGCTTACGAGAAAAGAGATATAAATATAAAATCAAATGGTTTCAGGGTATTTTCCCATTTGTGTATCCTTGTACATTTGATTTTGGGAAGAATTTTTTAATCAGGTTACCAGCTGCTTATGGTTTTTGTTCTGTCCATTTGCATAGCAATATTTTCATAATATTATAAAGTGAAAAAAGTAGTCTACAGAGCAATCTAAAAAATAATATGGGAAAAGGAAAGTCAGTACAGATATATACCAAAGGTTAATTGTCTCTGTGTTGTAGGATTATGAGTATTTTTTACGTGTGTGTGTGTGTGTGTGTGTGCGCGCGCACGCCTCTCTGTATTTTTTTCCAAAATTAACACTTTTTAAGCACCAAAAATGAGGCGTTTTTAAAATTTTTATTTATTTTATTTGTTCATTTTTGGCTGTGTTGGGTCTTTGTAGCTGCGCGTGGGCTTTCTCTAGTTGTGGCGAGTGGGAGCTACTCTTCCTTGTGGTGCACGGGCTTCTCATTGCAGTGGCTTCTCTTGTTGCGGAGCACGGGCTTTAGGCATGCAGGCTTCAGTAGTTGTGACACATGGGCTCAGTAGTTGTGGCTTGCGGGCTCTAGAGCACAAGCTCAGTAGTTGTGGCACACGGGCTTAGTTGCTCCATGGCATGTGGGATCTTCCCGGACCAGGGCTTGAACCCGTGTCCTCTGCATTGGCAGGCGGATTCTTAACCACTGTGCCACCAGGGAAGCCCAATAAGGAGGGGGGGTTAAGTAAAAATTAATATAATGAACTTTCTCATCAGCTGAAAGATGGGGGAAGAGAGAAGACAAGGAAAAAATGTGTTGAGACCATTTGGCTAGATCTTAGGAGATTTTGCTAGCATATGACATGCAGTACATATTGGGAGGCAGATAAAATCATGTCCATGCCTGACTGAGAAACTGCAAAACTTTCATAAGCTCAGTCCTGACACAGGAGAGGTTCTTGCCCCAGGCTTATCCAGGGACCTTGTGGACTCTGGTCAGAATCCTCGGGGCCTCTGGTAAAACATCAAATGTATTAATTCACTTAGATTATGTGTACTAGGTATGAGAAACATGAGTGACCCTTCTACACAGAGGAGAAGTGTGCTAACTCAGAAGCCCAGAAGAAAGCCGCTGTGCAGGAATAGCCCTCCCACGCTATCACGTGTTGACAGTTTCTTCCTAGCAGCAAGGGATGGGGAGGGAGCAGCATTGAAAGTTTTCTACCTCTTTCAAGTTCACTTCAAAACCTCTAGTAATGATAGACCTCCAAGTGATTAGTGCTCTTATTCCCCCTGGTCTGGTGATTGTAATGGTGTTAGTGATGATGGGAATGAGAAATGGATGCTGAGGTTAGAGCTCATTGGGGGACGGTGAGTTCCAGCTTCTGGGCTGGGAGGGCCCCTCCTCCAGTCTTCAGTTTTTCAGTGGGCTGATTCAGGCTGTTAGAAACAAGAGTCAGCCACAGAGGCCTAGGCCTCCACACCTTCGTTCTCAGCCAGGAAGGCCCTGAGCACACCCCGCAACAAGGTCAACACACAGGAGGTGACCAGGTGCTCGCCGTCTCCCGGGCTGCTAGGTTACCTGAAAGGTCTCAAAATCAGGGTGCTAGGTTCCAAGTGAAATCGTGCTGTCCAAGCATCTCTGAAGAGCTTGGTTCCTCCTGTCCCTTCTCACTCTGCCCTCACTTCCTTCTGCATCCCTCTGATGCCATCCCCCACCCCCCAGCCTCCCCCTGCCCTGCCCACTCATTGGTTTCCCAAGAAGAGCAAGGCTTGCCTTTTCTCTCCACAACTTGGCATCGCCACATGACTCCTTCTCTCCCCCTTTTCCCTCCCATCTTTCCTCCAGACCAAAACACCCCCTACCCGTAAACTCCTTGTCCCTCCGCCACCTCCTGTGGAGCGTGGCGTTCCCTCGGTCCTCCTCTCTGCCAGCGAAGGTGCTCAGGCTTCTGCTTGTCTGAAGCCTCCCCGCTGCAGGATGCTGTGATTTTTTTTCTTCTGTCAAACCTCTAACTCCTGTGACTGTTCACCTGCTTTGCCTTCTCACCGTGAATTCTCCTTCCTCCTCACCCTGGGTGGTCCATGTCCCAGAATTCTCCCCCAAACCCTGTCTCTCTGCACGGGCTGCATTTTGGGGTATTTCTCTGCTCACTGGACAGTGCCTCATCTCCGTGTTCCCAGATTTTGCAGGAACAGCGTGGGCAGCAGTGACTATTTGATGGATGCGCGCGTGGATAACCTCCCAGCGAGCTTCTCGCTCTGAGATGCTGATCCTGCTGTGTGCATCTTGCCTCTCCACTCCTACAGCGGGCCACATAAGGACTGGCCAGGCCTGCTCCTCCACACTCAGGCTGCACTGAACCGGATCTGTCAGACCCCGCACAGCAGCTACCCAATGTGCAGGCTGGAGTGGGGAGGAGATGCTGGAACATGGAGGATGGCTTCTGGCGGATCCACAGCCAAGACAGGTGGACAGAAAGCCATTTGGCACTGCAGCCGAGTGCACTCTGGGACTCTCAACAGCCCTGTTGTATTCCAGGTTCTCCAAGCCAGCACCCATGTTCCTGGATGACTCCTTCCGCAAGTGGGCTAGGATCCGGGAATTTGTGCCGCCTTTTGGGATCAAAGGTCAAGGTATGTTGGGAACCCTGCCCCACTTTACATTAACATCTCATCCCCCAAGCTACCTCCCTAGTGTCAGGACAGGGCTGTACCCTCAGAAGTGTCCCTGCTGGGAATCCACTCCTCTCAACAATGCCCTACCTTCTCTCCCTCTTTCCTGTCCTTCCTTTTTTCTTACTTCTTTAGTGGAATGTTTACTCAGAAACCACCACTTTGCCAGGGGCTAGGTACACAACAGTGGAGTAGACAGATGTGGTTCCTCTCCTCAAAAAGTTCCAGTCTAATGCAGACACAGGTACTTGGAGTGCAGTAAGGACTCTGATGAGGGAACACTGTGCTGTGAGGTCACACAAAAGGGGTGCCAGAGACAGCAGTGCGAGAGGACTAGATATGAGGGGGGAGATCCCAGAGAAAACAGACGCCATCCGGACGGCCGCCCCCAGGGCCCTCCATCATCCCCTCCTGATTCTTTCCACCTTAACCTAGCCTCCCCTCCAGCCCTTTTTTATCCTGTCCAAGGCTAACCTTTCCCCCTATACTCTCAGAACTGCCCCCTTCTATTGCCTCAAGGACCTCACCCATGCAGTTCCTGACGTAAGACTTTCCCATCCCTGAGAGTTTAACAGTTCTCTTTCCGTGTCAAGTTACTGCCCTATTTCATGGCATGGCAGAGTTTCAGCTTTAGCGTCAGACATAGAAGGATCCGGTCCCAGTACTACCTCTTTATTAGCTGTGACCATGGACAAGTTACTAACATGTTTTGCTTTAGTTTCTTCATCAGTTAAATGGAGAGAATAATACCACTGTGTTAGGTTGTGGTCAGAATTAAATAAGATAACTGTTAAAGGGGTGATATCATTTGGCCAGCAGACTCAAGAACGCCTGAACCCTCTACTTAGCTGGCCCACCCCTCCCTGAAAAAAAGACAGTGGCCAGCAAAAGGATACTCTTGAACTGGAGCTTTGACCTTCAACCTCCAAGGACAAATCTCATGGGTTGGGTTGAACCACATGAAGAACTCCTTTTTCATGGGTGCAGGTAGCCAAGCAGCCTAACTTTTCTCCTAAATCCTCACTCAAGATTCTGATCCTGCTAAGCCATGAAGGGCAGGAAAGCCCGATACAGAGCCCATCATCCAGCAAGAAAAAGCACCCCATAGTTTATGACCATTCTGCTAAGGTTCCCCTCCTAGAAAACAAAAACCCAATCCATACGCTTGGCCTTGGCCAGTTAGCAGCAGTATGCTTTTCCTTAGACGTGAAATTGGAGGTGGGAAAAGGAAGGGATCTGTGACCTTCCCCGAGGCCCACCATAAAGTGTATCTGAAGGCACTTAGTACAGAACATTTCCTTAAAGATTTGTTTCCTTACGCTTTCTCATTCGACTTCTAGAAAGGTTGCCCGTGCCAACTGTCTCCTCTTACTCACCATTTACTCTTGAAGAATATCTTCTCCCCTCACCACTTCAGTGAAACTGCTCAGTGCCCCCAGAAGATCCAAAGGATGCTTTTCATTCCTTAACTTGACATCTTGGCTGCATCTGACAGTGTCGTCCAGTCCATCTTTTAAAAAAATTATGAGGTTGCTGTGTTTAATTTCAGAGGCATCCTTTCTTTACATGAAGTATTTCAGGCATATAAAAAAGCATAAAAACTAATATATTAAGCACCCACGTACTCTTGTACCCAGCTTCAGAAATAAAACTTGAGATACGACTCAAGCTCTGTGTAGCCCTTCCCCCTCCGTTCCCCGCCTTCTCCAGGAGACCAGTATCCTGGTTGTCATTCCATGCCTGTTTATATATTTCTACAGCATATTTATATATCTGTTTAAAATACAGCATGGATGGGCTTCCCTGGTGGCGCAGTGGTTGAGAGTCCGCCTGCCGATGCAGGGGACACGGGTTCGTGCCCCGGTCCAAAAAAAAAAAAAATGTGGCATGGTTTTTGCACTTTACAAACAGTATTGTATATCGTACTTGTGTGTGTGTATTTTTCAAATTGATTTTTTTGCTTACACTTTTCAGATGTATCTGTATTGGTACACATAACTCTAGGTCACTGATTTTGCAACTGCTGTGTAGTATTCCATGTACCACATTTAATCTATTTTCCTTCGGTGGACTTTTGTTTTTTGCGGTATGAGGGCCTCTCACTGTTGTGGCCTCTCCCGTTGCAGAGCACAGGCTCCGGATACACAGGCTCAGCGAACATGGCTCACGGGCCCAGCCGTTCCACGGCATGTGGGATCTTCCCGGACCGGGGCACGAACCCGTGTCCCCTGCATCGGCAGGCGGACTCTCAACCACTGCGCCACCAGGGAAGCCCTCCTTCGGTGGACTTTAGGTTGCCTCCAACATTTCGCTATTACCAACAGTTCTGCAATGAACATTCTTGTACAAGTCTCCTTAAACAAATGTGTGAGTTTTCTGATGCTCTCCACCTAGGAGTAGAGTTGCAAGATTTTAGTCTATGCACAGCTACATCTTTACTTGATATTAAGATGCTTTTCACTGTGATTGTACCGACTTACTTATCTTTAGGTCTTTATGTACATTACCTTTTTATCTTCCTAACAATTCTGCACAGCAGGAATTACCATCTTCATTTGGAAGATGAGGAAACTAAAGCTCAAAGAACGTAAGCGATTTATCGAAGGTCACAGAGCTCATAAGCAGCAGAGCCAGGATTTGAGTCCGAGGCCGATATCATTATCTGTTATATTATAATGCTCTCATTATACCAGAGTTTGAAAGGAGAGCAGTCATCATTGCCAAAACCAGAGAGAGGTCAAGACGAATGAGGCCTGAATATGGTCACAGGATCTGAGAGCACAGAGGTCACGGGGCCCTTGCTGAGGGGCAGCCTGAGCGGAGTGCGGGTGGGCAGATGCCAGGCCACAGGGCTTGAAGAGGTAAGGAGGTAGAGACAGCCTGGCAAGAACAGGATTAGAGGTCAGCAGTGTTAGAGGGAGGAAGGGAGGGGAAGATGGTATCAGAAGATGAGGCGGAGTGGCCTGGCCCGGGGAGCTGGCTGGGAGCATTCTAGCTCTTCACCACTGGTTGGCTCCTTGTTTGCTTCCTGGTGTCTGCTTGGTGGGGGCACAGAAGTGAGCGCGTGGTCTCTGCCTCTGACCGGCATTGCCATTCTGGGGGACACTGAGATGCCCCAGCTCCCAGGCAAGGCCCACGCCCGGGGGCGCATGTCCCAGGGCCTGATGGCAGAGCCTCCGACAGCCAGCCGAGACTGCCAAGGAAGGGCCAGGGAAGCCTGAGGAAGGAGCTGTGCGCGGGTGCCGGGGGCTGGCTCCAGGCAGAGATGTGTGTGCCGCCTCTTCTCCTGCCTCCATCTCCTGTCTCAGGGAGAAAGTTAGGCCAGTGGCCCAGCCTTGTGTCCGGAGCTCCCTCCCCAACCTTCACGTCCACCCTAGCCCCAGGACCACGTGCCTTCAAATCGGCTCATCGGCAAACATCTCATGGGAACCCTTAAGTGACCCTCTAACAGTTGCCTCCCTCCTCTGTCCACAGATAATCTGATCAAAGCCATCTTGTCCGTCACCAAAGAGTACCGCCTGACCCCTGCCTTGGACAGGTGAGCCACTCGCTGCCCAGTATCCTGCCCCTCGGCTGCCCAGCGTGTGCAGAGGGGCTGAGGCCCAGCTGGCCTTCCCTGGACCTGGGCAGATTCTCTAGCACACCCACACGTGCATACACACTGGGGTGGGTGAGCAGGGAAGCGGGGCCACCGCACTGGACTGGCCGCCCCCGTGGGCTATAAGCAGTTGGCAAGACATCTCAGTCCTCAGGCAGCAGAGATTCGAGGGTAAGAACTGAACGTCCTGGGCTGGGATCAGCTCAGCACTGGGACTGAGTGGCTGGGTGCTGGGGCAGCTGAAGGGGCTTAAATCCAGGAGGCAGTGACAGCTCTGAAGCCAACAAACCCTAGGTGGGGGAAGCCCCAGGGTCAGAGGTGCGAGAAGCAAAGTGAGTAGGGTTCTCGGCTGGCTACTGGGTGCATGGGGGCTTCTGAGTTAAAAATAAGTCCAGCCTTGAGTCCTGGAGCCTCCAGGCTCATTCCTCTGTTCTTGCTTCTCTAGCGTAGCCCTCAAGCTCAGCCCACTTTTCCCTCTCCTCTGAAGGCGGCCCAAACCCACTAACCCTTGGGGAGTCTTTAACCCAGAATGCCATCTTACCAGAGCTCCTTCCTCACCACCCCAGAGCTAGTGCCCAAGCCCCTTCCACACCCATGTTTCCCTGGAGAAGTGTCAGGGACCAGGGGTATCTGAGAGCCCTGAGTGGCCCAGCTCTCCGCAGTGTGGTTCCGGCCTCTCAGAAATGCTGCCAGAACCTCACTGGTCTGCCTCCTCTGTCCCAGCCCGTGCCTGGTCAAGGGCATGGGGTCAGGGGCCAAAGGGGCAGGGGGAGAGGAGACCTGGTGGACAGCTCTCCAGAGGCCTCTGCGTCTGTCCCCTCAGCCTCAGCTGTCGCCGCTGCATCATCGTGGGCAATGGAGGTGTCCTTGCCAACAAGTCTCTGGGGCCACGAATTGATGACTATGACATTGTGGTCAGGTGAGCTCCTCAAAGCAGTGCCTCAGGCACCTTCATGTCCTGGTCCCTGAGCCCCCTGAGAACTGTCTGTCGATCTGGCCCATTGGGCTGGAGGTCAGTAGAAGCCTCAAGAAGAACCCTGGGTTGGAGGGCTTTGGAGCGGAAAGCCAGGTGGCACCAGGCGGCCTGGGCTCCCTATCCTCTGCATCTGGGGTATTCCGGGGTCATGGCGCCTCCCCACACACAGGCCTACAGACCACATGCAGTGAGCCCAGGGCAGTCTCTGACCGGGTCTACTCTCTGCAGACTGAACTCAGCACCAGTGAAAGGCTTTGAGAAGGACGTGGGCAGCAAAACTACGCTGCGCATCACCTACCCTGAGGGGGCCATGCAGCGGCCTGAGCAATATGAACGGGATTCTCTCTTTGTCCTCGCTGGCTTCAAGTGGCAGGACTTCAAGTGGTTGAAGTACATCGTCTACAAGGAGAGAGTGGTGAGCTCCCTGTGCCCCAGCTCCTTCCCCTCTTGCCCTGGCCCTGCCCAGCTTCCCAGTCAGCCCCCTTTCCCTGAACCAGGCAAAGAACAAGTAGGAACCTTTCAAAAGAAGCATCAAGGGCCCAGATGCAACCAAGGGGCAGAGAGGCCAGGAGATGCCAAGGCCACTGGCCCAGACTCCTGGAGCTGATGTGCCTGCTATCTGCTACCTGCCTCCAGAGACCCAGGCTGCAGGTCCTTCCTCAGCCTTCTCTAGCCAGACCCCAGGTGCCTCCTCAGGAGACCCTGTGGGCCCTTCCCTGGCCTTAGCCCCCCGGTATGGAAAGCTGTCACCCGGCTAGACCCAGCTTTACTGCTGATCTTCACAACCCCCGCCCTCACTTTCTACTTGCCCCCCAAGTCCCTCTTACCCACTGTGAGGTCTCTCTAACTGTGGTCGTGTGGGTGCCCCCTCATTCCCAGCCAGGGGAAGAAGGCCTTGTTTGGACCCTGGGGCCATTCCACAGGGATAGCAGACCCCTCAACTTGAGGGTGCCAGTTCCCAAACTTGTAAGTCCTGACCTCTCTCCACTTTGTGCTTTTACCACTGACTTGTGGTTGTGTCCCCAACCTGCCATTGAGTCTGGTTCCACTGTGGGAATGGCCAGGTTCTGTACTTATTGGTCTAGGCAGACAAGGGTCTGGGCCTGTTTCTTAAGAGAGCTTATACGGCCAAGTAGGGTCAGACTGCTCCTTACTGGACCACCCAGTGAGGCCCCTCCTGAGTCCTCTGTCTCTCAGCCCTGGGCCAACTTGTCCAGGCTCCTTCCCCCTCTCCCCTCAACCAGCTGTCACCGGCCACCCCAGGGGAGGGGCACTGCAGAGTTCAGGCCATTCATCTTCCAACACCCAAGCCTCTTACCGGAGGAGAATGATGACAGGTAGCGCTCCGCCTACAGAGAGCAGCTAGTTCTTCCTGGAGGTTTAGAGGAGAGCTGGGGGGCTGGAACAGCTTCTCCTGCCTGTGGACGTCTCAGTGCAATTTGGTTTAACTCCACAGCCTTTTCCCAAGCAAGGCCAAGTGCAGGCAGTGTCAAGTAGGTAGCAAGCGAGAGCGAAGACAGAAGTCAGGTCCAGAAATTCAGGTAGGTGGGACAGTGGGGAAAGGGGAGCCCATCTCGGAGCCAGGCTGAATGTGGCAGCCAGCGTCCCCAGAGGGGAGGAAAGGGTTTGACCTTAGCCAGCCCCAGCGGCGAGCAAGCCAGCTGCCCATGCACAGTAGGCGGCATGTGGGGGCTGAGGGGGCACCCCTCCGTTTTCAGAACCCTAGGACCTGACCATCTAGTGTCCTCAGAGCCCTTCTCTTTGTCTTGAAGGCGAGAGAATTGGGATCACAGGTAGGCACCTTTAAGGGAGAAATGGGAGGAAATTGGGTCTGCCCTGGGGAACCCCAGAGAGCCTGTGGGCTGCTTCCTCACCCTGCCTTCTGCCCATCTTCCCACCCCCTCCTGGCATATCCTTTCCTCTACTCATCGACACCTGTCAAAGGAGCTCCTGGAGGGCAGGGCCCTGACCCCCTTTGCTTTTCTTACCCCTCAATGCGCAGCCACCACAAATGATCTGGAATTGGCTCAAACACCAGATCCTGCTTCTTGCTGGGCACACTGGGATAGGACAGGCGACCCATATCAAGAGGCCAGGCCAAAGGGTGGGTCAGGGCCAGCCAGGTGGGTGTTGTCACATGATCCTTCCAAGAACACCAAGGACAGCTAATTCAAGACTCTTACAAGTCATCCAAGGGAGTCTGGAAAGAAAGAAGAAAAGGAAGGAAGCCAACTAGAGTTGGAAGACTCAGTATACTCAGGCCACTCAGGGAGCAGACAGCAGGGCCTCACTTCTCCCCGAGAGACTCAGGACCTTACTGCCTGGCCTGGCCTTGGTGGCGGGCCTGTTCAAGGAACTAACTGGAGCAGTTGGGATGAAGAGGTGTGGGCCGTGCTCAGGCACACGCTCATTGTGCCGATGTCTGTGTCCTGTTGCGGCCATGCCCAGGGATCTAGGACCAGCCCTGTGGTCCTTGGTGAGGACTCCTTCCCAGGGTTGGGAGATGTGAGTGGAAAGGGGAGAGAGGAGCTGGGAAGGAGTCCTCTGAAGTTCACGAGGCTTCCTTGACTCCAAAGTCAAAGATAATTGGGGCCTTTAGAGCAAGCTGCCAGAGGAAAACCAGTGATGCCCACGGCCTCGCCTGAGTGGGCCCACCCAGGCCCTTTTGGTTACTCTGGAAGCCTCTTTAGCGCCCTCCTCCACCCCAAGCCCAGGGCTAATGCCTTCGCAGGATCTCTCTCATGCCCTGCTTCACTTCTCTGGCGTCTGAGACCCAGGTAAATGTGGGAGAGGCTGCTTCTCCAGGCCCCCTCCTGTCTGGTGCCCAGCTGCAGGCTTGCCCTGCTCCTGCAGTTATGTTTCTAACTATGCAGCCCCTGGGCTACTGGAGAGCCCTCTGCACCTGTCTGGAGCCTCACCTGCAGAATTCTGGCAGGAGGCAGCTCTGTGTTTGGGAGCCAAGGCCTCGCTGGGCAGGGCTGGGACAGGTATCAGGCCTCAGTCAGGGGCGCTGCCTGCCGCTCGCTGTGTGAGCAGTCGCTCACTGCCTGTGTAACTTCCTGATTCCCAGGAGTCCTGACAGGGTATGAGAAGGGGAAAGATATAGGAAAGGAAGACCAAACAGCCCAAAAACAGCCTGTGCTAGAGCTAACCATGCTTTCTTCATCCACGTGGGAGCTCTCCTCTTCACCATTTGTGGCTGTTTGATTTCCTGATTCGCTGGGCAGTAGCACAGATAACTCTAAACAAGTTACCTTTAAAGGCCCTTTATCTCTCAGATCCCAGGAGGCCAAGCCATCAAGCAGGTGGAGGAGTTCCCAGCAGGCCTCGGGGCAGCTCAGAGGAGCACCAGCGGACTGTTGAGTGGGGAAGCTGAGGTCAGGGGGAGGGGAGGAGCTGGGGACACGGAGATGCAGGTATATGTGGGCCATGGAGGGAGGGGCGGCCTCCAGCTCTTGTGAAGTTCTTCTCAGAGGCACATCTGGCTCCACCCCTCCACGCGCTTACTCATTTGCCAGGCATCGTCAGGTGTTCTCTGTGCTGTCACTGTGCTGCTCCCTGGAAACAGAAAGTCACTCAGTCTAATGGGAGAGACAGTCCCCGAACTAGTTATAATGCAGTGTAGTAGGTGCTGTGCCCTCAGCATCCTCCTCCTGGCGTTTGATGAAGGCTGGAGACGCCCTGTCTGTGGTCCTGAGGACGGAGCCCTGGGACCTGGAGAGGACGGGACATGTGAGAGGCAGAGCTTCTCGTGCTGTGTCCGCTGCCTCTGCCAGACTCCCCCACCGGGCCCCAGGATGCTGCTGACCCAAGCACTTCAGAGCCCCGGGGAGCTGCCTTCCCAATCGTCTTCGTCCTCACTTGGGAAACCCCGGAAAGCTGGCCTCACTGCTGAGTGGCCTCTGGGCCTGAGGCCTGGGCTGGGTTGGTGGGTGTGGTTCCAACCCAGCAGGCGGGGAGGAGAGGACAAGGGCTAGGGGTTGGCCCCTGGACAGCCTTGATCCAGGCCCGACCTTGCAGCTTTTGTTCACTCCTTGGGGAAGGCGGAGGGATCTAAGAGGCCGGCCAGGGCCCCACTTCACGCCCAGGGGGACTGGGCCCTTGAATCTGAGAGACAACGGTGGTTGAAGAGGAGAAAGCAGCTTAGGCCTTGGAGTCATACAGACTCCGGTTTAAATTTAGACCCTGTCACTTGTTAGCTGGGTTCTTAGACAAATCACCTAGGCCCCTTAGACTTCATAAAACAGGAGTAGTACTACCCATCTTTCAGGGTTAGTTTAAAAGTTAAACAAGATGAAGTATAGAAGCACCTAGCATAGTGCTTGACACTTAGTAAGTTCTGTCTGTGGCAATTATGAATACTGTTTATTATTTTATTATTATTACTGGTGGTGGTGCTATTAGAAAAGCCCAGTTGCACCAGGGAGTGAAGTCTTTGTCTAGACTGTAGGGCCTGACCTAGGAAGTGACCTAAAAGCGGGGGTCAGAGGCCAGGCCTAGAGGAAGGAGAGACATGGACCTCCTGGTGAAAGGCCGCAGGGGTGGGCTAGCAATCTAGCACAAGGCAAATGGCCACCAGGTCCCCGCATGTGAGGCCTTATTGGACCAGGCCTGAGACAGGGACTGAACGTCCATCTGCACCTAAACCTGTGCTCTGTCCAGGCCTGAGAGGGATGCAGAGCCTTAGGATGGGCTCGGCCTAGCAGGAGCTCGGTGTGGACACAACCTTGCCTCTGGGGAGACTCCGTGCAGGGCACCTGGAAAGCGTGGTGAGGCTGGCAGACACCGTTGCCTCCTACTGCTTGACAAGGCCTCTGCTGAGCCAGCTCGATGCTGCGCACCCCACAGTCTCCTTTCCAGACCTCTGAGACAAGCTCTCCTGGATACCATTTCCTTTGCAGCCATTGCCAGTGGACACAGCTCTTTCTCACAGATCCATTATCCCCTGTGAGGGCCAGGAAGACTCCCTGCACATTCCCCCTCCTGCATCCTGCCCATCGCTCCTCCCCCACCATGAAAGATGCTCAGGGACGGGGGCTCACGTCATCATCCCCTGTGCTCCTCTTCATCACTGTCATCCAGAGCCTCTTGCTTACTTACCTCACGATCCCTGTTATTATTCCTCCTCCTTTTCCTCCTCTTCCTCCTTCCACCCTCCTCATCATAGACGTCATTTATTAAGATCTTCAGTTTGCCAGCTTTCTTTGAATTCCTTTATTCAGTTTTCACCATGACCCTGTTAGATAGATACTATTATGATCCCCTTCTCGGGGTTTAGGAAACTGAGGCACAGAGAGGATGAGTTACTTGCTAAGATCACACAACTAGTTAAGTGGTAGAGGTGAACTCAGACCCAGCTCTGGATGCCATCTCCTCCCACCTTCTCAGGAACTGTCTTTTTTCACTGATCTCTTT